AGGCATCTCCCTGGCTGGTGTCCTCTGCTCGGTATTTACCATCAAACATAAGCCCCAGGCTCTTCTGTTTATCCAGATGTTTTGCTTCATTGTTTAGATGATGGGCCACAGCTTCTGAGAAATAAAGATGCCAGCTTCCTGCTGAGGAATATCTCGAGCCTGTTTGACCCAGAAATGGCAAGAGGATTTTAAAGACATACTTTTTATGCTTTTTTTAAGGCAGATGGCCTGAAATTCCTCTGAGTCCTGACTGCCTGCCTGGGCATGAGCACTGATGGGACCTTTTTACCCTGCAGGACTGTTGACATGGGATGTCTGCACCCTACAGCTGGTTTTGCTTGTTTGGGGTATTTTAATTTTTTTTGCTTTTTTTTTTTTGCCTTTTTTTTCTTCTTCTTTTTGCTGGTTTGGGGAAATTATATTTTTTTGCCTTTTTTTTTTTTTTTGCTTTTTGTGGCTTTTTGCTGGTATGGGGGAATTTTACTTTTTTTTCCTTTTTTTTTCTCTTTTTTTTTTTTGCTTTTTGCTGGTTTGGGGGATTTTTTTTTTCCTTTTTTTTTTTTTTTTTTTTTGCTTTTTGCTGGTTTGGGGGGATTTTTTTTTTCTTTTTTTTTTTTGAGCTGTGAAAAAAAAGATGCATTACCCAGAGCACTCCTTATGGGTCTGCATCCTCTCCCCTGTGTGCTGTTGGGAATAAGGGCACGTGTTTGGTAGTGAAATATTCTCACTGAGCTGTGCATTTTGGGCAGAATCAGTGATTTCCCTCTCTGCTTCCTGTAACACTCCTGCTATTGCCTGGAAGCCCTTCTGCTCCCCTCCTGAATTCACTGGAGGTCTGCTTTGCTCATGATCCGGCCCTGGGGTCCCTCTCAGCCCCTCATATGGTGTTGATGTCCATGATGATTCCCAGGGCCAGATCTTTGTCCAGAGCTCATTCCCTGCTTGTACAGCTCCTGCTGTCCTGGCCAAGGAAGGGAGAAGCTGCAAAACAAGGATAAAGCCATGGAAGTCCCCCTGCAGTGTCTGCAAGGCCTGGAGCTGACAGCACCAAAGCTGGTGACCTCCGTGTCCCCTCCAAGCAGCTTCTCCTTTGCAAGGACGAGGAGATGAAGTCCCTTCAAAGCCTGCTTTGGGGCTATTGTGTGGAGTACAATGCAGGGGAAATCAAGCTCTCCTCTCTCCCGGGCAGCCCAGAGCAGCCCCCTAATCACGGGTGACCAGAGAGGATTTGCATGTTAAAAGCAGTGGCTGGGGGCACTTAAAAAGGAGAGGAAGCGTATTCATCAAGGCCAGCTTTATCCTTATGAATATTGTTATTCCCAGGGCAATATAGCCCAGAGCCTTCAGTGCAACCCTCGCTCTGCCTCTCCCTGTGAATGGTTAATTTGTGGTGCTGTGTGTTGTGACTTTGGTGCCCCAGCTGAGTTGTTGGAGCACCTGGAGTGAGGTGGTGGAACCAGTAATAGGAGGGCTGTGGGATGCTCTGGAGCTGCTCCTGGTGGTGATGGCTTGGGGGAACCAAAAGAGAGGCTGGGGAGATGCTCTGCTCCTGTCTGGAAGGTGTTTTAGAAGTGCTTAGAAAGCAAACACCCACCACAGCCACCCATGAAGGGCTTCTTTGTCACCCCCAGCTGACAAAATCCTGGTTCCTGGGCAGATTAAATGCCCAAGCCAGGATTAAAGTGCTGAGTGTGGGGCACAAAGTCAAGGGTTTACACGGCAGCAGGGCAGGGCTGGGTTAAGCTTCCAGAAAATGAGCAGCTGTAAGGCAAAGGGCAGCAAAATTCCAGGACAGATGGGTTGGGGAGGATGTGGTGTCTCCATTGCTAGGAGGCTTTCAGGATGGGAATGATTTAGGTGGAGCACAGGGGACAGGTTTCTCTTCTGAGGTCCCTTCCAGCTATATCTTTTATGCCTTTGTGACTGCTGATCACCAAAAAACTTGAAGGCGCTTTAAAAAATAATCCTCAGGCCGTGCCCTGTGAGGCTTTCTAGAGCAGCTTGATTTAGAGGAGGGAAAAAAAGGGAAAGGAAATGAAAAACCTAAGTGGGAGCTGCAACCTCTCACACCTTGGCAGAAGCGGCACTGATGTAAAGCAAGTGGAATTTTGCTGGAGTCCAAGGTGAGCTTGGGTCCCTGCAATGCCACATGCCTGGATAGAAGGGCAGGAGCATGAGGGATGGGCATGGGGTGAGTGCCCTGAGCCTGGATTCATCAGTGGGAGCTGCAGAGCGTGCCCTGGGCTCCCTGCTCTGTTGTACCAAATCCTGCCACCTGCCTTGGGGGCAAACTTCTGCTGGCCTGAGCCTTAACTGGGAAAATTTGGATTCTCTGATTCTTTGCACTGAGGATTAAGCTGGTTAAATAAAATTCCTGAGTGTGGAGCCCTGTTTTCCAATATTTTCTAGTAGAAGTGTTGAGTGGGACAACCTTTGGTTTACTGCAAGCCCTGTGGTTCCCAAAAAAAACCTGAAAACGGCTCGGTTTCTTTCGCAGCTTTGGCCAAGGATTTTCTTGGAAACAGTGCCCCATCTTTTAAACTCTGCCTCTCCTCAAGCCTCCTTTCCATCCTCTCAGCACTTCAGGATACTTCTCTGTAAGCTGAGGGCTAATAACTCAATAGGAAAGGAGTTAAGAATAAAACACAGAGACTTGGGAAGAGGTTTTCAGGAATAATCCTTATTATCCCAGCTGGCCATAACCAGCCACTGCCAGGTCTCACTTGTGACCTTTGCTGTGTCCCCTTTTGAGGTTTAGCTCCTTGTCAACCCTTTTGATGGTGTCACAGGCAGGGTGACATGCCCAAGGTGTCGTGATGTGTACCTGGAGCCCCAGCAGAGCCTTTTAGCTGGCAGTCTGTGCTCGTGCCTTTAGGGAGAGACAAGAATATGCATTTTAAGATTTGCATAGGAACATGCAGCTGTTCCACCAAAAATGGATAATTGTTCTCCCCGCTGTGAAGTTAAACAATAAGAAGTGCCAAACTGCACTTGCCATTGCTGATTTTGTGCACTCAGCTGCATATTTTATGCATGTAGATTAGTTCCAGATTTATGACGATGGAACTGTTCATGCCTGCGTTAATCGGGCCAGGTTGTAGTTGCTGTGGAAACTACAACTGACTTTTATGTGAAGTTCCGTGTTGCATTTAACACTTTTTTTTAAATTTTCCCCTTATTTTTTTAAAGGTCTCCTATATTTAATACTTTGTGATGAAAACAGTGCGCGAGTCAGCGTCAAAAATAAAAGCGCCTTTGGGCAAAAAACAAGTTTCAGCAAAGAGAGCAATTTTTCTGGGAAGTTGGGATGTCTAGGGAAAATAAGGGTTTGTGATAGAATGCCACCTTGACCAGAGCTGTATAACTATTATTATAAGTGTGTAACATCTATTATAGGCCCTGCAATACTATAATAAAGAACTCAGCTATATAACTTATGAATGTCCTGGAAATACAGGGCTGAAGTTGCTGGGTCTCTAGATAACACTCCTGGTGGGAAAAGGAAATTGCTGGGATGTGTTTGATGTGAAAATGGTGCACAGTGTTGTGGCAGGCACAGGGCCTGCTAGGCCTCCCTGGTGGTCAGTTGTCTAAGATAAGAAGTGCCTAATCGTGATAAGTGGACCAAAAGAAGCCCCTCTCCCACCTTTGGACCCTTGTTATCTCTCTGTAAGACCATAGGTCACTTTCCCCTCAACCCTTACTATTGGACTGTTTTTTAAAACCCACATACCCTATAAAAATCCCTATTTCTGCCCAGTTTGGCAGAAGAGCTGTCACTGAGACCCTTTGCAGAAGATACCGATAAAGACACCTCTGTGGAACCTCACACAGCCTTCTCCTTGCTCTCCCTTTCTCCCTGCGTCTGCCAAAGGCACTTAGCAAGCAAAGACCCAAAACCACAAACGAGCTGAGAATCACTGGGGTATTTTCAGGGTGGGACCCCAGCCTGTTGCTGGCAGCTTCAGTTTTGGAGAAATCCAGCAAAGTTTGCTGGATTTTGGAGAAACCCAGCAAAGTTTGCGAGTGGCCGCAAGGGGAGACCATTCTCCATGGGGAAAAAGAAGTAATTTCCCCAGGGTCTGGGTATCACACGAGAGGTGGCCTTTAGTGCTCTGAGGGCTTGCAGGGTCCTCCTTGGTGGCAGCATTCGTTTTGGAGAAATCCAGCAAAGTTTGCAAATTTTCAGGGTGATGCCCCGGTGTCGGCCAGTGCGTGAAGCTGAGACCATTTTCAATGGAAAAGGGAAGTCATTTCCCCAGGGTCTGAGTGCCAGGTTAGAGGTGGCTTTTGGGGCTCTAGAACCCCAAAAGAGCTGATCTCAAGAGATGAGCCTGTTAAGACTGCCTGAGGCTCTGGATCCTGCCTGAGGGGCCCAGACAGGTCCTGCTGAACTGGACTTTGCTGTCTGGGACACCCATGGCAGCTGGTTTCGGGGGGGACCCGAAAAAACCCAGAGCTGCATTACAACGTTACTGAAAAGGAAATTGCTGATGTGAAATTGCCCTGCTAGCTCAGTCATCAGAGCATGAGACTCTTAATCTCAGCATTGTGGGTTTGGGCCTCACGTTGGGCGCCACTAGAAGCATTTGTTTTAGTTTAGGGTAAATTTTGGAGAGAATTTTTGAAGGGTTTTTTTTTTTTTAGGAAAGTAGATTTAGTTGTTTGTTTTTTTAATTGGCTTGGGAGAAAATTTTTTTTTGGAGAAAAATGGGAAAAAATTGTTTATTAAATAATAAAATTTAAATAATATTAAATTATGAAATTTTTGTTGTTTTAAAAGAGATGATAAATAGAGAAAGTTTTTTTGGGTTATAGTTAAGTTTATTTAGTTTTGGGGTTTTTTTGGTGTTGGAAATGTTGTGGTTTAGGTTTGGTTTGGTGGGTTATAGGTGTTAGTTGCTGGTGGTTTTTTGGGTTTAGTTTAGGGTAGGTTTAAATAAGTCTAAAGAAAAAAGAAAAAAATTACAGTGTTACTGATTTTTATATTTTATCTCCAGAACACCCCTGTGGGCACGCCAATTTTCATCGTGAACGCCACGGACCCGGACCAGGGGGCAGGAGGCAGTGTGCTCTACTCCTTCCAGCCCCCTTCCGACTTCTTTGCCATCGACAGCGGCCGTGGCATTGTGACGGTGATCCGGGAGCTGGACTACGAAGTCACTCAGGCCTACCAGCTCCAGGTGAACGCCACGGTGAGTCTGGCCCTGGCAGCTGCAGGCCTGGAGGGGGTCATTGTATGTGCTGGGAATGCCTGGAGGTGTTTATTGTGTGTGCTGGGAATGCCTGGAGGTGTTTATTGTATTTGCTGGGAATGCCTTGACCAAGGTAGGAATGATGAATCTGACTCCATGTTCTCAGAAGGCTAATTTATTACTTTTTAATACTATATTATATTAAAGAATATACTATATTATACTACATTATATTAAAGAATATACTTTATGATACTATATTACATTAAAGAATACTATACTATACTATACTATACTATACTATACTATACTATACTATGCTATACTAAAGAATGCAAGAAGGATACTTACTGAATGCTATAAAGATAATAATGAAAACTGGGACTTTCCAGAGTCCCAGCACAGCTTGGCCCTGATTGGCCAAAGAGTGAAAACAACTCACACTGAAATCCAATGGAACAATCACCTGTTGGATAAACAATCTCCAAACACATTCCACATGAGCAAAACAGAGGAGAAGCAAATGAGATAAGAATTGTTTTCCTTTTCTCTGAGGCTTCTCAGCCTCCCAGGAGAAAAACCCTGGGCAAAGGGATTTTTTCAGAGAATGTGAATGGCACAGGTGTTGTCTGGGGTTTATGTTGTTGACCTCTGGCAATTCTGCTTTTGGGCACATCCAGTGTTTTCTGCTTAGCAAGGCGTTGCAGCAGTGCCGTCTCTGGGTGGTTTCAAGTCGCTGTGGGGAATGGCTGCACCTCTCCAACAGCATCTCACACGTGCCAGGGGCTTCTGCAGGGAGGGATGGAGCTCCTGGGTTATGAAACCCAGTACAGGGCATACAGACCATTCATAGAATGGTTTGGGTCAGGCACCTTAGAGACCATCCCATTCCAACCCCCTGCCATGGGCAGGGGCACCTTCTGCTAGACCAGGTTGCCCCAAGCCCCCTTCAGACAGCCCTGGAACACTTCCAGGGATGGAACTACATTCACAATTTCCCTGGGCAAGCTGTGCCAGTGTCTCACCACCCTCTGAGTGAAAAATGTCTTTGGCATCCTCCAGACTCATTCCTTGTACACTGTGATCTATTACAAGTGGATTCACCTGTATTAAGTTCAGACATCAAGAGTTAAAATTCTGGTGGGCAGAGGAGAAGCCAGGGTCTTAATTACTGTCAATGCCATCACTCTGGGAGGGGACCCTTGGGATGGGAAATGGTAAATTCATGGCCCAGTGTGGGTGGGTGTTTAGTCCCTGGTGTTCAGTCTGCAGAGAGCTGGAGAATGTCAAGGAGCACACGGGCTGGAGCTCGGGGTGCCGGCTCCTTCCCCACCTCGCACGCAACACAGGGAGGTGAGATTCAGCCCTACAGTACATCTGCCCAGCCCCACACTCAGGAGAGGGGGGGAAAACCCTCTCTGCCCCCTCCAGGCAGCTGGCTAGAGCTCTTGAAGCATGTGATTTAATCAAGATCATTGTCTTGATGCAGAGCTACAAATGTCAGGAGGACACGGAGGGCTGTGCTTCTCTCTTCACAGCAGCGGGCCTGGACACTCACACACTGCAGGGCAAACATCACAACATTTCAGCCAAGCCCTGCATGTTCCAGGCTGTAGAATTTGCTCCAGAAACTTGGTTTTTTGTTGTTTGTTTTTTTGCTTTATTATTTTGAAACATATGTCTCTTATTTTAATACTCCAGTACAAAGAGGGCCTCTCTGGTTTTGGCTTCCTTGCCAGCGTCTGTTGCTGACAGAAAATGGAAAATGTGGGGCCAAACACAGTTCCTGATGGAAATGTTACTTTCTTCCAGGATTCTGATTTCCTTAGGGATGCAGTGGTGTCAACTTGACCCATCCAGCTCTGTCTGGCCCTGTATCCCAGCAAAGATAAAATGGGGATGTATCTGGTACTTCATGGAATCCCACAATGGTTTGGGTTGGAAGGGGCTGTGAAGCCCAGTTCACCCCAGCCCTCTGCCATGGGCAGGGACCCCTTCCACTATCCCAGGTTCCTGCAAGCCCTGTCCAGCCTGGCCTTGAACATTTCCAGGGGTGAAGCAGCCCTGGAAGCTGCTGGAAGCTGCCCTGGAAGCTTTTCTGGGCAACCTGTTACTTGCTCAATACACTCCTGGCATCCAGTGCTTTCCAGTTTAGGGAGTCCAAGGATTTAAATGCTGTCTCTGGACTGGGCTGGATGGCAGCTGTGGGAATATCTCCTTGCCTTGGTCAGTGCTAGTGATTCCTAGAAGAAGAGTGATGAGAAACCCCAGGGCAAAGAAATGTGCCGGGAAAGAAATGTGAGAGTTGCACCAGCGTAGCAGGAGCTGGAAAAGCAAATGCAGATTTTTGTCTGCCTGATGAACAGTTTGCATGGTCCAGAGTGGGAAATGGGGTGATGGTGGCTGCAGGGATTGCTGAGGAGCATAGGTGCAGGGCAGGAGTGGCTCCATCCCAGGGGTGAAGGCAGCAAGCACAGAAAGAGGCTGGAAAGGACAACAGGAGAGACTGGAAGCATTCTTGTTTTTTCAGTGCTATCTGTGATGCCTGAAACAAAATTTAAGAGGTGAAGGGGAGGGGAAGGAACATTATCTGAAGAAACAAAGGACTTGAACCTGACGGCACTAACAGCAGAGTCAGAATAAGCATCCACCCAGGCCACAGACACTGAGCCCTGCAGGTTAAAAGGATAATGTGCAAGCTGAGTTGTTGAATAGAGTTTAAATTAACATTAATTTTCTGGCAATCAGTCTTTACCCCTGCTCAGAGCCTAACCCTGCCTTCTTTCTGTTTAAAGCCATTTCCCCTTGTCCTGTCCCTGCATCCCTTGTCCCAAGTCCCTCTCCATCTCTCTTGGAGCCCCTTTAGGCACTGGAAGGGGCTCTGAAGTGTCCCAGAGCCTCCTCTTCAGCTGTGTAAAGGCATCAGCACTGTGGGTATGAGAGAGGCTGCTGGCACCCACCCTGGGTCTGACCATGCTGAGCCACTTTAGGCTGTGTCTGCATTAGGAAGGAATTTACATTTTGAAGTACATGTTGAACAGCATTGCTGCATTTTCACTCAAAATGTGATGAAAACTAAATTGGTGTTTGCTTCATTTGAAAGGGCTGATGCTGCAATGAAATGCATATTGTATTTCAGCTTAGAGGGAGGTGCAGTGGACAATAATTCCAGCAGGTAGCTTGAAAAAGAGATGATTACCTCCACTATTCAGAAATCCTGTCCCAGCTACAACCACGAGAGACTTAATGCTGCTGAATAATTCTGTTTTTCTGATAGAAATCCTTTCTCTCCCCTCTTTTTTTCAAGGACCAAGACAAACACAAGCCTCTGTCTACTCTGGCCAACCTGGCAGTCATCATCACAGACGTGCAGGACATGGACCCCATCTTCATCAACCTGCCCTACAGCACCAACATCTATGAGAACTCGCCTCCGGTAAGGGCTGTGCTCCATGGGGCTTCCTTCTGAAACAATTCCAGCCAGATCCAAAACATTCAGCCCTTTTTAAAACAGGCAGCCTGAGCACAGGGGTTCAGGAAACCTGGACCCCAAATAAAATATTTTCTTGAGGTTTTTTTCTTAAATTCTGCAGAGGCTTTGTGTTGTTTGGAGCAGACAGTCGCCCCGTCTCCTCCCCACGGTCTATCTGCATGCCATTTCCAATAGAGGACTTGAAGGAAAAATCTAAACGTTCCTGAAATGAGGCAGTTTTGAAAATGCCAGAATCATCAGCCATTTCAGCACTTTGAGTCTTTTCCCCCAGGTTTTGCCAAATTGGTCCAATCATTTTAGTTCTTCTGAAACTCGGTTTGTCAGCAAACTCGCTGTTTGTGGAAAAACGTCTCCCAGCCCCTGAATGCAGCAGGGATGAGGTTGTTTTTTTTCCCCCCACAGATGTCAGGGAGCGTGGAGGGCAGCTTGGGCTTTGGGAGATGTTTCTTGAGGGAATCTCATCTGGGACTTTCAATGAGAAATTTGTCTCCGTTATTTTTGGTACTTTCCAGTCAGGATTAAAAGTACACCCTGAAATGCAGTAGAGCAATCCAGCCAGGGAATGGAGACCATTTTGGAGACCCACCAAGGGCTTTAATCCAAGCACCAGCCCTTCTCCACAGCATCCACAGCTGTGCATCCCGTCACTTTGTCCACAGGGAAATATTTTTGTGTGTGTGGAAGGGAAAACTTGCCTTAAAATCACGGCATGGTGGGCACCCACACCACATGTGCACCCCATAACTTGTATGGTGCTCTGGATCCCAAATGCCTCTGTTCAGAGGGAGAGGGAACTCCAGTGAGCTTCAATTTATGCCTTTTCATCCACTTTGGGGCATGGAGAGTGCTGGATCAATAGGGCTGAGCTGTACTGTCCCAAATCCCATGGTGACACAGCACATTACCTGTCTGCTGGCCCAGAAATGGCCAAAAAACCAGCTTATTCATGGATTATTCACAAAGTAAAAGTTTTGTTGGTATTAAGGAGTATCTCTGGGATGGACAGAGTGAGCTGCAGGGAAATAAAACCCCACAAATAAGATCACACTTAACTAGGAGGAAAAAAGCTTTAAATTAAATTAGAGGCATGAAAGTGCCATAAGTATTAAAAATCATAGACTGCATCACCTCCATGGAGTGATCTGGTATCCAGGAAAGGGAATGACTTCCAAATAATCATATATATTAAGGCTGAAGGATCCCTTTGTGTCAATACAGCAGCATGCACCACAGTTATTCCTGGAACACTCACTGTTTGCAGTCAGGGAAGCAGCAAATTGCCACTGTGCAACGTGACACAGGAAAAGGAGGAAGGAATTCCCACCAGGTTTAGAGATTTTAATTTTTCTTCGCCATGTGCAACACCTCCAAAGGCACTGAGGTATCTGGGAAGCATAGGTGCCACCAGAGGCATGGTGGAGAGAAAAATTGCTGGAGGTGGGGACTGCTTTGAGTGGTGTCACCCTCTGGTTTGGACCCACATTCTGGGAGAAATTCCACTGCTGAAACAAGGGTGTGATTTGCTTTGGCAAGCCTGGCGTTTAACACAGAGTCATTTGGTTGGAAAAGACCTCAAAGTTCATCAAGTCCAGCCATTAATTATGCGCATTTTTTGTCTCCCAGTGTAAATCCTCTCATCAGCTGTGCTCTACCCCCTGAGTGGAGCCAGGTGTGGAGCGAATGCCTTGGTTATCAAAATGATGATCACCAGTTTGGGTGGGGAGTCAAAAAAGCAGGCTTGCAGGTCAAACCAAGAGGCTGTGGTGCATTTTTGGGTGATGTTTACCCTGACGTGTGACTCAGCAGGTCAAAATGTGCTCAAGGCATCTCATCCCAGCCCTAAATCCACGGAGCCGCTGCTCCCCGTCTCTCTTCCCTCTTTTTATCTGCGGTGCACAGCATGTCTGTGCTCCCCTATCAATGTATCAGGCAAGAATACCTCATCTAAAGTGTATACATTACCTAATAAAATCCTTCTTATTTGGGATTATTGCATCAAATTTTAATTTCCTCACTCGAGTAACAGCATGTCAGCCAGCCCGTCAGTGGAGAGCCGATAGAAGGTGAAAAGAGTGGATAAACTGCAGCAAATTACCACAAACAGATCTCTATCAGCCCTTTGACTGGAATTGACTGGAATTAAGAAGTGAGAAATGGGATTTTTTTTTGCCGTGGCAGCTTTCTGAAGCGCTCACCCCCCCTCCTCCTCCTGCTGCAACGCTGGGCTGCGCTTCGCCTTTCAAGTCCCTAATCCTGTAAGAGAAGAAGAAGGAAAAGGGGTGGAGGGGCCTGAGAGGGGAGAGGAGTGCAGTTGTAGTTCTTATTTCTCTCAGGCCAGGATCTGGGAGCATAATTGAGAAGCGTTCTGGGCAGGTGCTTATTGTGACACTGAGAAGAAAGCAATTTCTTATCGGGCAGAGGAAGAGGATGCAGCAGGGAGAGACTCTGCTGTCCCTGGAGGTGTTGTATCTTCTTTCTTGATGTTGTTTATCATCCCAGCACGGCTCAGGCATCTCTCCCAGGGCACCCAAGTGTGCCTGCAGCTGTGGCAAAGCTCTGAGGCGTGGTTCGCATCCTCAAGAGGGTTTTTGGGTGTCTGTCCTGGCAGCAACTGGAGGCTGGGTGGCATGGTTGGTGTTGAATGTCCTGGAGAGGAAGGGTCATGCAGCACTGCCACAGGATACCAGGGTAGTAGTGGAACCACCGTCCCTGCAGGGATTTAAAAGACATGTGGATGTGGCACTTGGGAACGAGTTAGTGGTGGCCTTGGCAGTGTTGGGGGAATGGCTGGACTGGATGATCTCAGGAGGCTTTTCCAACCTGAATTATCCTGTGATTCCGTGTCCTCCAGACAGGCTGGTATGGCTGGAGGAATGGCTGGACTGGATGATCTCAGGAGGCGTTTCCAACCTGAATTATTCCATGTCCTCCAGACAGGCTGGTATGGCTGGAGGAGAGGGGCCATTTCCCTTTGCAGAGCTGCTGTGGTTCTGATGAGCTCCTGCTTTTCTGCACCCCAGTTCTGCCCCAGCTTCTGCACCTCAGGCAGTGCTGCAGCTTCACTTTGTGGGTGCAGGAGGAGGATTCCACTCTCCGGGAGACAAGCTGAGGGCTGTGAAGGTGTGCTTCATCCCACAGGGAGCCACGTGAGGCCAAACCCCACTGGCACACGGCCCCAAGACCAGCACTTGTGTTCCGTTGCAGTAGAACGGTACAGATAACGTGTCAAACATCATTAAAACAGTTTTAATTCTTCAGCACCATCCCCCTCCTCCTCAGAAACTCCTTGAGTTGAAGAAATAATGTAGAATCAGTGCTGGTTTTGCCCTAGAGTCTCAATAGCTCCGAGTTAATTCTTTCTTACAATATTTCCAGCCCATCAGTGTGAACACTTTATTAAAAGCTCAGGGTTTTATTAAAAAAGGATTGATTTACCCCTGCCCCTCTTCAAAAAACCCTCAGATTTTGTTTGGATAATGTGCCATTCTTTATTTTCTTTGCCTTTTTTTAAGCATAGGCTTTCCCAGATTATTACTTTTCTAAACCTTCTTCCTCCTCTCCCAGAGGGGAAGAGTTATTCTGTTCTCTCTGTACCCACCAGCCGCTGCTGTCTGCAGTGGGCGGGCGAGCTGCGACTTGTTTTAAAAGGAAACTCAGGGATTTTTGGGAGTTTCTGAGAGCTCCAGGGTCTTGCCACAGGTTGTGCCATGTGCCACTTCTTCAGCCCCTTTCCTGGGAGCTGCAGGGCTGCTCCCAAGCGCTGTGGTTGCCCAGGAAGGGAGTGTCCATCCCCAAGAAGCGGCGTCTGCCAGACTTGTGGGTGCCTGGATGGAAGCCAGGTGGGAGGTGAAGGATCTTGCTGTGGTTGCAGGAGTGGCATCCATGGGCGGTAGGGAAGGCAGCACCACTCCAAGATGTGTTTCTTGGACGCTGGTGAAACATGGCTCACCTCCAGGAGGTGCTTGTGGAGCAGGAGGCTGCAAGGAGAACGGGGGGAGCCCCAGTGCCAAAACCCTGCAGCAGGATATCATCATCATCATCATCATCATCATCAATCATCATCACAGGCCTGCCGAGGGCAGAGGGTGAACCTCAGCGTGGTCCCTCACAGCCCTCATTCCTGTGATCAAATCTCTGGATAATTTCTTTCCTGTGGGGATGGGAGATTAAAGATTGAATTGGATTCTGCTGGATGTGAGTGTGATGTATAATACAGTACAGAATATGTGATAACACATAAAATACAATATATAGTATACAATACTATTTATATATATATATATATAGACAGAAAGTATATAGCTGTATATAGAGTCTGTATATATATATACGTATAGTACAGTACAGTATATTTATACAGCATGATATTATTATACTGTATAATGTATAATTAAATATTCTATATAATTATAATATATAGATTGTGTAATATAATACTATTTATATACATATATATAGAGTATATAGCTATATATAAAGTGTATATATATACATGCAGTACAGTATATATACAGCATATATATACAGTATTATACTATTATAATATATAATATATAGTTATATATTATATATAATTGTAATATATAGACTGTATAATATAATACTATTTATATACATATATAGAGAGAGTATATAGATATATACAGAGTGTATATATATACGTACAGTACAGTACAGTGTATATACAGTATATATATACAGCATGGTGCTATTAAACTGTATAATGTATAATTACATATTCTATATAATTGTAATATAGAGATTGTGTAATATAATACTATTTATATACATATATATAGAGTATATAGGTATATATAGAGTATGTATCTATATTTATATAAAGTACAGTACAGTATATATACAGTATATATATACAGTATTATACTATTATACTGTATAATATATAATTATATATGATATATAATTATAATATATAGACTGTAAAATATAATACTATTTCTATACACATATAGAGCGTATATAGATATATAGAGTGTGTATATATATATACTATATACATACAGTACAGTTCAGTATATATACAGTATATATATACTGTATAATACTCTTATACTGCATAATATAATGATATATTATACAGTATAATACTATTATACTGTATAATATATCATTATATATGATACATAATTATACTGTATAATAATATAATACTATTGTATTATTATACACACTGTCTATATATCTATATACTTACATGATATATAATTATACTGTATAATAATATAATGCTATTATATACACACTATATAGTTATATTCTCTCTATACACATATATATACATATATATAGAGAGAGAGTATATAGAGAATGTGTGTATATATATATAACTATATATAGAGAGAGAGTATAGTATAAAAGTATAATACATTCAAATTTATACGTTGCAAATTTACATTGTAATTTTGCATTGTAGTTTTACATTATAATTTAAGCAAAACTATGCTGGGACAGGGCACTCTGAAATGCATCACCCTTTTTTTTTTCCCTCCACTTTGCCCTGCCCCCCTTCCCACATCCCCTGTTCTGCTTTCCCACCTGCTCCTTCCCCCCTTTGGCAGTGGTTTTCCTCTCTCTGTGTGCTCTTGGGGAAGCACAGTTATTGTCAGTAATTTAGAGGCTCTCTGGGTGGCTGCTGAGCCTCAGCAGCCGAGTGCTGCTCAGAGGCCAGTGACCTGGGATTTATGGCTAACGCTCTCGGTTAATAACATGGATTTACTTAAGGAGTCTGTTGAAATGCCCTCGGAGATCAGGGGACGGGCAGCCTGCCTGGCCCTCAGAGCTTTCTTTATGGCCAGCAGCGGCATCCAGCCCCCGGGGACAGGGATCTGCAAGTCCTGTGAGTCCCTTCTTTCCACCACCGATGTTTCAGCTTTCCCTCTGGCCTTCAAATGAGGGATTGCGGGGCGAGCACGAGGCTGCCGACCCCCTCTGCTCCCTCGTTAGATATGCAAACTCCTCTGCTGACATTTCCTTTGAGGGGAAAGAAAAAAAATGATAAAAAATTTGCTGCTTTCCCCACTGTTAATAAGCCAATGAAAACAAGAACAGCTGAGTTGTAAATTTTTTCACACTACATTAATTACAGGCATGTGCATGTGTTGGTATTCACAGGAGCTCACTGCACTGCGGCGGGGGAAGTTGACTTATGGAGCAGGATATTTTTATTTCAGGAGCTAAACAAGAATTTCGGGTCCCTCTTATGCTGTTCTTGCCAGTTTTGGGGGATTCTTGGCTCTTTCTGCTGGGTTATAGGAACAGTGCAGGATGGAGGATGAGTGGGTGAGCTGGCAGCTGCAGAAGCTCCTGCCTGTGGGTTCTCAGCATCTGTCCAGCCCTCCTCCTCCTCCTCCTCCTCCTCAAGGGTTTCAATTAAAATCTCTTCAGCTCACTCAGTTGTGCAGCTGGATGCCGATGGTCAGTGTGAGCAGCCCTTCTTGCCTGGGGTGCCTCATCTGAGGAACACAGCGGGAGAAGAGGCCAGGCTGAAATTGGGAAGCCAATGGCAGAAGGTGGTGGTGAAAGGGAATTGTTTCCTGCTGGTGATGCCCTCAGCATTCCCAGCCACATCCTGGGGTGGGTTAGCAGAGTGGATCAACACTCGCACCAGGGTGATGAGTACTGAGCCTCAGCTGCTTCAAGGGCTGGCAATGGGATTTTCAATGACCTGCCATGTGCCAGGACAGGTTGTCCCCCAGCAGCTGGCCCAGGGTGAGAGGTGCAGGTCGTTGTGGCAGCCCCAGCAGAGCTGTGACACCTGTCCCCTGTTCCTCCCAGGGCACCACCGTGAGGATGATCACGGCCGTGGACCAGGACAAGGGACGGCCCCGGGGCATCGGCTACACCATCGTGTCTGGTGAGTCCTGGGGGCATGGAGGGCATCCAGCAGGGATGGAGGGATGGATAATGGATGGATAATGGATGGATGGATAATGGAGGGATGGATGGATGGATGGATGGATGGATCCATGGATGGATCCATGGATGGATCCATGGATGGATCCATGGATGGATGAGGGATGGATGGATGGATGGATGGATGGATGGATGGTGGATGGATGGATGGATGGATCCATGGATGGATCCATGGATGGATCCATGGATGGATGAGGGATGGATGGATGGATGGATGGATGGATGGATGATGGATAGGTGGATGGATGATGGATGGATGGATGGATGGATGGATGGATGGATCCATGGATGGATGATGGATGGATGGATGGACAGGATAACCCTGCCATAAGTCCTTGCACATCCCATCCCTGGGAAATCATGGAGTAGAATGGATAGAATGATTTAGGATGGAAGGGACCTTAAAGATGATTGTTCCAACCCCCCTGCCATGGGTAGGGACACCTTCCACTAGACCAGGTAGCTCCAAGCAAATTTTTCACATTGAAATGACGAGCCACAAACAGCTCAGCTTCACACAACCCCATGGAGGGGATGTTCTGTTCCAGGAGAGAACAGGACTGAGCATGGACTGAACGGCTCCTGGTGGTTTCTGTGGTGTTTCCCAAAAGTTTCAGAAGATGTGATGCGAGGACTGGGCCCGTGAGGGTGCAGAGCTAGAGGAGGAAGCCTGATTAAAGTGGTGGTGGCTTTCTGCCTTCTGCCAGGCACATGGAGTGAGCCTGCCTTTGCAGTCTGGCTCTGAAGCCTGGCAACCCTTCCTGGTGTGGATGGGTGGATGGCTTGGCCCCTTTGGCTCCACAGCCTGAGCATCCCTTCTGATGGCCCAGGGGCAGGGCAGGCTGGGGAGGTGTTTCCAGATAAAACCCTTATGGGAAGGCCAGTTTTGGGGGGCTTGGGCCTGTTTCATTTGAGATGCCTTGAGCTCAGCAATCTCTGCCATAGCCCAGCTGACTCTGATGCAGCTTTGGTGAGGACAGACAGACTGCTCAGGGTGACCCAGAAGCGAGGCACCAGCTTAGTGGGTGTGGATTGTAACCCTCTTCCTGGCATCACTTTTTGGGGTTTTTTTCCCCAGCAAGAAACAGCAGCAGTGCTTCCCCTCCCCACCACATGCTCCAGGTGCTGCCCCCACGTGCAGGAATAATTTCCCAGTTTCTTTTCCTTAAAGCCCATCCATTTCAAACCCTCTTTTAATCAGCCTCAAGGGTCAAGGTGATTTCACCCTGACTTTCAAGTCCACTGATCCTGACTGCAAGTATCCAGCCTTTGAAGGTGCGAGGATTATTTATTCCTCTAATTCCCTCTGCAATTTATTCAAGAGATTGTCCCAGATTGTGCGTATCAGCTGGCCAAGGTACAGCAGGGACTCTCTTCTGGCTCATACAGGTTCTTTTTCACTGGAGACTGGACCGAAACATCCATCTGATTTTGCAGAGGTTGCTGAATTACGGTGAGGATGGTAAAATAGCCGTCAGCCTGGCCATCCTGGACGGGCAGTGGGATGAGAGACCTGCAGCCAGATCACTGCACACAGCCTTGCATCTGCTTGTGTATGCCAAGAGCTTAACCCCTGCCTGCAGTCCTGCCTGGTAGGGGCAGCTCTCCTACCACAGGACCCAGCTGAACAGATCAAAAGAGTGATTAAACTACTTTGCACTATTTTTTTTTTTCCCCAGACATGAGAATTACAAAGTGTTTTCCTAACTGGCCAGGAATCTTTCTCCTGTCATCAGCAGGGTCTCATGGAGAAGGGGTTGCATAGGGATGATCAGATTCTCTGTACAGAGCTGATGTTGCTTTCTGATGTGTGAGATTCCAGGCACAGGACTGGCATCTAATGCGCTTCCAAAATCCTGCTCAGCCAAGGCAAGCCATTTTCTTTTTGGCAGGCAGGTAAAGCCTAATTAATTTCTCATTATCCTCAATCATGATGGTAAAGGTCAGCGAGCAGATTTTTGCGCCCGAGCTGGAAAATTTTTATGGCAATTTTGCAGAAAAAAAAAAAGCAAAAAAAAAAGAAGCCTAACATATGGGAACGGGGAAGCAAATTAAATTAGAAACCGACCGTAAGCAAAAGTGAAAGTGGCTGGTGGAAGTCGTAATTAAACCTGGCTCTTCAGCTCCCTTCCAGAGGGGAGGTGGCAGTGATGCTGCTCCCATTCCCCTGCAGGGATGCATGATGCCTCTTCCCGGCTCTCAGAGTTTTTTGGACACAGGGTTAGCGTGTGGCTCCTCTGCTTTTGCCTTTTGGGCTGGTATGTACAGCAGTAGAGAGCTGAGAAGCCACCTGGCTGTTCATCATACCTTCGGTGTTAATGCCTAAAGCATCGGTGTGATTTGGAGGTGGGGTTTAAAAATTAATTTGGAATTGCTGCTGTCCCATTCAGCTGCATCCCTCGGGCAGCCACGTCTGGGGATGCACTGCAGCAGCTCTTATTTATACAGCTATCTCCAGCACAAGGTCCTCCCGTGACAGGAACACAATAAAACTAAAAGATTAACCATAACCACATAAAATAAGACTCGAGATCCAGCTTTATGCCGCCAGCTTACAAAGCTGTTAGGGCTGAGATGATGGAGGAGCACTGGTGTAGCTGTGCCACAGCTTTGGCTGCTTGTCCTGCCTGCACTGGGAATCATTTCCATATCTAATAGGGAAAAGCCAGTCAGCTGTTTCTGCCCCTTCATTCCCCTCAGAGTGTTTTAGCTCCAGGAAAATGAACTTTTTCACTTCACACTTTACAAGGAGTGGGCTCCCTGCCCAATAGAGAAAGAAACCCAAATTGAGACCTCACAATTCAAGCCCCTGGTGCCAGCAGGCTGGCCAGTGCCAGGGCTCCCATTGCTCCAGAGGGTGTTCCTGCTGCTTTTCCTGTGGCCAGAGCCCTGTGCTAGCCCTCCCTGCCTCCCTGGCTGCAGTGACAGCTTGGAGACGCTCAGCCACTGAGGTCAGGACTCTGCTTGAAGGACAGATAATTAATCCAGCAAAGTAATCCACAGCTCCTTTTTGGCAGATTTATGGAGATAGCCTCTGTGCCGGGGACTCTGCCTCATCATCTTTCATTTCCCAGGCAAAGGCAGTGACTTGTTGTATAACACGACCTGTTCTAGATAAGGCTTTTCATTTAGGGGAGCTCTCCGGGCTAACAGAGATTGATTTTCCCGGCGGGAATCGGGAGGGCCCTGGCAGTTTTGGGCAGGATCAGCCCTGCAGACGGCACTGTGTTTTCACATTTGCTGCCTCTGCACGCCGCCTGGGGCACGGGGAATCCTCTGGCTCTTTAAGGGAAGGATTTTCAGCGTGAGTTAAACGGCAATTTAATTAATAGGAGGGAGGAGACTTCAGCCCTCGAGCTCTTCTTAGGAAAACGCATTGACTCACGTGTTGCTGGCTAGCAGTAAACTTTGGGCTTCATTTATTTCCAGGGGAGCCAGGAGACTTGGAGCCTCCTGGCAGGAGGGTGTGAAGGTGACCTGTGCTGCTTGGGCAGGCGCTGAGGGGTTAACCCAGGGGACAGGGTCCCACATGTCACTCCCTGCCTGCCTGACACCTCTCAGGTGTGGTGATGGATGGGCAGCGGGAGATTGCACAAGGGCAATCTATACGTCCTTCCTGGGGCTTGGAGAGTCCTTCAGGGGAGAGGGGAGGGAGCTTTCAGTCAGAGATGGTCCTTAGGGCTATTCACAAACCCTCAGGGTGGGGTTCTTCCCCCTCTTCCCAGCTGGATTGTTTTATGAGTCTGATGCAGTTTCCAGCAAAGCCTCTCTTCCTTAAGCTGGTGCACCCCAAGGGAAACATGAATTAAAAATCATTATTTGCACAATGCAACAGAAGTGAGAGGGAAGCTGGAAATAATTGTTCTCCATCTTCTGGATTTCCTGCTAAGGAATAGAATGTCATAGATATATTTTTTATGTATATAATATGTATCTATGAGTAATTAATCAGTGCAGTAGCACTCTCAGAACATATTTCCCGTGCTCTTAACAGAGCCCACTGCCTTCCTCATGGAAGTGCAGCATGAATCCTTGAGGAAGGGTCAAGTGGCCAAAGAGGTCTCCAAGCCCTCAGCTGCTGACATGCCCCTCCGTAGCTTGACCTGGCTTAATAAAGAAGGCACTTCCCTAAAACCCTCAAACCAGACATTGGGGAGCACCCTTCCCATTGGAAGTGGGGCCCTGCTCGTTTGCTTATTCCCACACGGTTTTTCCCACATTCTCCTCGCTCGGTGAACTGCCGGGGTGTTGAAGCCCTCATAAATTCCAGCTGCTGGGAGGGCCTTCCCGTGTGATTTAAAGGCAGCCATCACAGCAGAGCATTTCTGCAGGAGGACACGCTGATGGGTGGAAAAGCGCCTGGCGCCGAGTTATCCATCAAAAGCTGTTTGCTCCCACCCTGCCAATGCGAGGGGATGAGACAGCACAAAGCAAAGATGGTGGCTGCGGTCACAGCCCCTCTTCCCTTGGCTCAGTGGCTCCCCATCCTCCTGCAGGCTGCTTTTCGTCATCGTGTTGGCATCTGGCTCTGGCTCCCTGGCAATCCAGGAGTCGTTGGAAAGAGATATGATTGGGATAATGGCTTGCGTGGCAGGTGGTCCCCCAGCAAACAGCCCGCTGTAATTAAAACTATACATTCCCTTTTATGTGCAAACAGGAAACAAAAGCATCTTTTCTCTTTAATTTCTGGGACTTCCTGTTCAGCTTTTTGGGATTTAGTGTGTGTTCGAGGCTGAGCAACCTGGTCTAGTGGAAGGTGTTTGGAATGAGATGATCTCTAAGGTTCTTTCCAACCCAGATCGGTCTGGGATTCAATGTTCACCACCAGGGGAGAACAATGAACCTGGACCACCTCTGTTAATGTCATGGCTCACAAAAACAGCTGGTTCTGAGATGGTTTTTCATGGTGAAATCCTGGTTCTGAGATGGTTTTTAATGGAG